ACAGTAGGATAATTTTTTTAATTTTAACAATAGTATGCAATCGAATATGAGAAAGAATATCATCAAATATGTAAATATCTAAGAACGAAACGCCAAACAATTGCATAATTCCAATCAGTCTTCCATTCTCCAATTAATCATGTAGCACGTGCAGTACCCTTTGTGTCCAACAACTGTACAAGTCTTGGCAGGATGTTTTCAGCTCTAATTTGTTATGCTCCAGCTTTTGAAACAGCAAGAATATGTTACCGGTATTTACAAGGCATCTGATTAATCACAATTAATTGGTCCCTGGAGGTTGACCAGGGGCACCGAGGCAACTAGCTCAACCAGAAACCTACAGCCTGTTCGGTTGGCTGGTTCGTTTCGTTGCTGGTTCGTGAAGAAGTACTGCTGGCTGGTTTGTGTGAGAGAAAAATACTGTTCCGGCTGGAAATATACGATCGTTTACGACAAGCCACAGCCAAACGAACAGGCTGCTAGTCGTCTAACTATTCGTCGCTTAATCACAATTGGTCGTACAACTAGGATAGGGACGACCAGGTTGGTTGCTCTGCTTTTCGTGGGCCTGCTTAACTGGGCTCACATGTGGGCTAATGGGCTGCCAATTTGGCCTGCTAGGGTTAGCATAAGAGTTCACCAAAATGCACAGCAGGGAGGCACGCTGCAATCCTCCCCCACGCTGCTGCAATTCCTCTTCTGCCTGTGCACGGTTCCTCGTCGTGATGAGCTCCTCCTCAGACGGTATGTGCCCTTTCCCTCCATCTTCTTCCGTCCTTCATCTTCTTCCCTTGTGCTCCATCCCTCACTCAACAGCCCTCTGCCAGTCTACTTGCTTTCTGTGCTGCCCCTTTGCTACTCATCTTGCTTGCTGGTTCTCCGTCCTGAGAGGCTGTATAGTTGTTGTGTATATTTGTAGATGTGGAACAGCCGCGTGTAATGGTGGAAGTGATCATGCTTGCTTTATTGTGTATACTATATAGTATATAGAAGTATATAGTATATATAAAGAGCATTCCCAATGCAGAGAGCTCCCGCTCTGTGCGGGTATATATATGTCCTGAAATATATAGGACGACGATTAATCGGTACGGTCGATGACTAATCGCGATCAGTCGCCTGGTCGGTCCCATTGCGACCAGGACCAGGTTCAACTATACGATTTGTAAACATTGGTTTAATCGCATTGCATGGTACACAAAGAAAAAAGAAATATTACCTACAATGCGAAAAGTCTTACCACCTGTGACCGGAAGGTCCCGGGTTCGAGTCGCGGTCTCCTCGCATTGCACAAGCGAGGGTAAGGCTTGCCACTAACACCCTTCCCCAGACCCCGCACAGAGCGGGAGCTCTTTGCACTGGGTACGCCCTTTTTTTTTAATGCGAAAAGTATGATCCATGACGCAAACGAAACAGGGAACTACGAATATAGGGCTCATTTTAAAATTAGTTTTTCCCTTTAAATAAATATTATACAGTTGGAGGAAATTTAGACATTGGTTAGAAAAGATAGGATTAGTGTTTTAAACTAGATATCTTGAATTATGCAGTTGGGGGCAAAAGGAATATAGCTATTGCAATCAACTAGAGGTGCATAATAAGTCCTTCACACAAGCTCCCAAGAATGTAGGTCTTCATTGCAAAGAAATACTGTGAATGGTGGTTAAGCAATTGCGGGAAAAGAGTGCACAAAAACACGGTTTCTATTTGCATCTTTGACCATAAGGAATAAGATGCAAACCTTCTCGAATATGTTTATCTTCTTCAAGGCCAAGATTCGATGAACTGGAATAAATATAGCTCTCTCCACTACACTACTTGCACCATTACCGATGGGATCAAATATGTGCATCTCATGAGAGGCACAACGGTACCCCTTCTCATCAGAATCTGACTCGTCTGGCCCAGCACTTCGTTTATGAAAGCCATGCTCATTGATGTTATACTCACCCAAGGATCTACTAAGTAAATTAACAGTCCCACCATCAGAAATCTGCATACAGAAAAACAATATGTATAATGCATTAAATAATGTTCAATATATGACTTAAGAGTTTAAGCACTGTGCATGATATAACACCAGTCTGAATACAATTGATCCTCCACATCCTTTCCTACTTTTGTATTCAGTTGCATCAAAGGTGTAGCAGCGAAGAACTGGAGAAGGTTTTTCCTTCTTTTTTTTTTGAAGAAATCCATTTTACTACCAAAACAATCCACTTAAACCACTAAGCAAAAGTTAGGCTGGATTTTGTCTCTCAAACAATGAGATTTGTCTTTTTTTTTCTCAGCACACAAGATGAGTTTTAAGTTCAGATTTTTGTCAGGTGACTGAGGATATGATGTCCTATGTTAGAAAAATACATTGAGAATTTTATATGATTACTTCCATGCAAATTTGTATCTCAAGGGTTAAATAAGTATGATGCTCCTAGCCTACAAAAATAACCATGAAAAGTTCATGTATTTTTCTAACATAGGAACATCATATCCTTTCGTAAACCACAAAATTTAACTAAAAAACTCAACTTGTACATGTGGAAACAAAAATACAAATCTCAATGGGGGTAGAATTGACCAATTGAAATAGTTTGAGGATTGTTTGGAAAAGCAAAAAGGACTTCTTTTCCTTTTTCTTTTTCTTGCATAACTTGGGAAGGCTGGCAACATCCTTATTTAGCATAATCCATTCATTACTGGAAGCGGAGGCGGAGCTCATGAATTTGCATGCCTAGGGCCAATATTTAAGCACCTAAAGCACCAGCTCCAGGTCACATCTATGTAGTACGGATACGTGGATGCTATTTTTCCGAGAATCCAAACACCCAATATGCAGGAATGTTTTATTACTTTGTTTGAAAAACAATAACAATGTTCATATAATAGCAAGAACAACAAATCATCTTGTGATTATGTCGTTTTGCATTTTTGTTGTTGCATTTTGGTTGCAAACAAACAACAACAACAACAACAGTTCAATTGTTTGATAGAGAAGATAACAGGATCCTCAAATCCCTGACTCAAAGAAAGAAGTGGTTGGTCAGGAAACATAACTATGAATAAGCAAGGACTCTGCATAAAAGAGTGTCAAAGGAGATATAACCTTTTTTAGAGACTGTGATTACGAAAAGAGTGGCAAGGGATGTTTTTTCAAAAAGGAACTGCCATAGGAAACTGAAATAACAACTTGACCTGCAATGCTGGTCTCCATGCAGTTGAGTGAATCGTCCTGTTTCTCGTGCAGTGAGGATTTGCCTATTGCCGGCGGCGGTGCCAAGCATGCTGCACTCCCACACAGGGGCACATGAGGAGACAACAGTGCGCCACCAACGCCGGCCGCCCAGCCAGTTGGTCACACATGACACATGCTCGGTGCGCAGCCACACATTGCTGGTCCAGGCATCAAGCCATGGCGCTCAGCTGTTGATTCAGCCACCAGTGAATTAATTTGTCCATGCCCCCAGATAGGGTTTAACACATAGCAAATGAGGAGCGGACGAGGGAAGAGGAAGACAGCGTGAGAGCGACAGATGCGAGGCGATGCAATGGCAACACCAAACAGCTTGCTGGGCCTGGGTAAATCCTTCCAGGCTTTTGCCTTGCTGGGTCATGGCCTGCTATCACAGAGAGACGGATTGGGCCATAAAAGTTTGAGGTGATTTGGCCCTAGGCCCAAATTCACTCCTGACTGCAACCAACTGATTTGGATCATGCCGAGTTTGCGTAGGAGAAATTCTAGGTTTAGCCATTATTAAAATCAGTGAACAGAATTTAGAAAATATTTCGTTAGAATCCATAAGCAGTTCAGGGTTAGGGTGCAAGATGAAGAAAGCAAAGGATCAATAGATAAAAAAACAGGAGCAAGAATGCAACAACCTACCAAAAAAACAGAGATCACAAAGAACATTTTCTAAAACAAATAATAAGTCTGGTAAAAATGATTTACTAATTTCTCTTGTGCCATTATTACACACAAGAGTCATACTTAAGTCACAGAAAACACAAAAACATGGAATGATTTGCACCCTACATCTTAGGCCCTGTTTGGCAGAGCTCCCAGAACTGATTCTCTGCTGAATCGGAGAGAAGTGATTCTTTGTTGATTCCGTGAAGTGATTCTCTAAAATGAACTAAGAGGCTGGGAGCTGAAAAAAGTAGGTTCTCCTGATTCTGTGAAGTGATTCTCCATCGTGATTTTGAGAGTTTATGCTAAAGAAACAAAGAAAATCACTTTCAGCCACAGAATCACTTCTCTCAAATAATCAGCTTCCATAGAGAATCAGAATCAGATGAAGCTCTACTAAACAGGCCCACAGTCCCATGTATGCGCCTCAGTATGGTTACTGTGATCTAGTTGATATGGGTAAACACAGTGTAGGTGAGAAAGCATGACCGTGAGCACAGTGCATCACAAAGTTCAAAAGAATGTAAGGCAAGAGTTTAACTGCAAAGTTAATAGCAGGCAGGGCTATATGTAGCTTATCAGGTAACAAGGCTACTCATGGTGTAAAGATTTCATTTGGGGAAGCTGCATATGCAAATGAGTTGACTTCCAGTACTGAAATAAATTATAAACAAAACATAGACCTATCTGTGTTCATTTGGTTGCTTATCCTCAAATTAAACAGAAAACAATTGAGCTTGTACATGTACCACGCAGCGTTAAAGCCACTAATCGACTCTCTAGGCCTCCCACCTTAGACGAGACGGCTAACATGACATAATGTGCTATAGATAACTACAATTGCAAATACCAATGAGCAATAAACCAAGAATACCAGGGCGTGCTTACTGCGTAGGAATCGCAAGTTTCTTCTGGTAAGGGCACCCTGGTACTGGCGCCACCTCTGTCCGGGTCATCGAAGAGCAAGGGTTGTAGCTTCTTCTTCAACTCCTCCAGCCCTGCCATCCAGGTGCGCTGAAGCCAGGGCCCCTGCTGCTGGGTTGCAGTACCCTGAGGTGCTGTTTGGATAACGGGATATGAGGAGTGGGATAGGGAAATGAGGAGGGATGGAAAGCTCATCCGATGCTTGGTTCATGAGAAAGGAAAATGTGGAGTGGAGGGGAAAGGGAAATGCGGACCTCTTATCTCACCGATTCTATCCCGTAGGGAGGCGTGGGTTGTGCCAGGTTACTGCCCTCCTGTGTGCTCGGCCTTCGGTGTCCTCAGCCCCGAGACGCGCTGCCGGAGACGACGCACACACCTCGCTGGCGTGCGTCAGACCGTCGGAGCCCGCGCTCCTTCCACGCGTGGGGCCACCGGAACCGCGCTCCTCGCACGGTGCCGCACGAACTTCACCCGGCTCCTCGACGCTCCCGTGGGCCAAGCTAGCGGTCGTTGCCTGGTTTGCCCCCGGGGCGCATCGCTGGTGGAAAATCCGGCGGAGGGGATGAGCGGGGTCGACGGCGGAGGGGACGAGGTGGCCGACGGCGGCGCTGCGCTGGAGAGGGGCGGGGTGAAGCCGGCGCAGGGATGGAGCGGGCAGGCGAGGCCGCGCAGGGCGACGGCGTCGTATGGACGTAGCAGTGCGGGGCGAGGCCGGGTCGTCGCGAAAGGAGCCGGCGCAGGGGCGGTGTGGCGGGGCTACGCCGGCGCAGATCTGAGAAACGTGCGGTGGAGGGTAGTGAGAGAATAAGGGGAAAAATAAGTGGAAAAAATTAAGAAAAGGAAAAAAAAAGATACGCTTGTACTTCCTCCGGTTTGTAACGTGTCGATGTTCGAAACGACTTGCTTTAGAGAACCGGAGGGAATACATACAAGAAAAATAAGATAAGCTTGTACATTTTGATGTAGTTCTGATAATTTGAGATGGACAACTCTGGAAGTAGCGTCCAACCTGAGCAGGTGTCGCAGGCATCCGCCCTGCCCGTGTTATTACATGCTTGTTTGGTAGGGCTATAGATTCTCGCATAAACATTTCAGATCCACATTCTTTAAAGAAACATTTCTGGTGATGAATCGGACTTTATAAAATTATTTGGCTGGCAATTAAATTCTGATAAAAAATCATTTAAATAAAAATATGTTCAAAAAATTCTAAACTTTTTTGTGGACCAAGAACAACTTAAGATAAAAAAAACATTTTAACTTGTTGCACTAAAAAATAATTAACTGAAAAAATGAACCAAAAAAGTAAGAAGCAACGAGATGAGAATCTGTGCGAAACTAGCCTCCAGCCGTTTCGCATGTGTACGTAGAAACGGTGAAACGTTTCGGTTTCGAATCACTTGTTTAAAAGACCGCTTGGAAGTGATTCTGGTGATTCTCACTAGAAACTGAAACGTTTCTCCCATCCAAACGGGGCCTACATCTACCCCTGAAATGATTCTTGTTGATCAGCAAACTGGTCCAATGATATTGTTCTAATATAAAGGCAAAGGTGTATTTTTCTAATAAATATGTAACAACACACCTGAAGAGCTACTATAATTTTCAAGTATTCCAATCTGTGTTCAGATGCACTGGAGTGGCCATAATGGTGTAGTGTAGCATTGTCTCTTTCTTACCTTTCGTGTGATCAACTCTGTGTGTATCAATCTGGCCCTGTTCACTTCTTTTATAATCTATATTTTTCAGCTTATTTTTTTTTCCGAAATAGTATTTTTCTCTCACAACAAATCAGCCGGAACAGTGTTTCGGCTTGTTTTTTCAGCGAAGCGAACGGGGCCTCTATGTTATTTCCCAGTCTAGCTACATTTGCTTAAAAATGGAATTGTAGGCAGTCTTAGGACCTATATGTTCATTGAAAAGGTGGACTAATTGCTTGTCTTCTGTCACTCTGCTAACTTGTATTGATGCCATGTACTTTAACAGAAATATGTGTCTGTCCTGTAGATAACTCATGACACAAGTGATGTAGCCAATGAAGGTCATAATTTATGGCCTGAGCATGAAGAGGAACCAGGTGTTCAAGGCAATCTTCCATATCTTTTCAGTAACAATGGAGGTATGCTAAATTCTTCACTCTGATGTTTTATAGCATGTCACTGCTACATAAATATTTTTATATACAGAACTACAAATACAACAGTTTGAAGCACTGCTCACTTTCTGGATAAGCTTGAATAAGCTATATTGCTTCTGAATATAATTTAGAGTGACCTATTGGAGTTGTTGCAGTCTAGAATATTGAGTCCCCTACTAGAAATGCAACATTTGTTTTTGAGACAGTATAAATCGGCCAACTAGTAAGATATGTACTACTTCCTTACTGCTAGTTGTAGCCAATTTTGATTTTGCTCTGCAGCAGCTAATGAATCAGCTGATCAATGTATACTACATACATGTATGCTTATGCAATTAGAGAAGCATGCTTGAGTTCAGTTACTGTCTCCGTGAATATCCATGTCCCTTACCATCTGTACTAAGCTGTGTTGTGTAACACAAATGTCTAGAAACCTAGTACTAATTCGATTGTTTAAGGTTCAGACTTAACTACAAGATGAAATGATTTGGTGTGGTACAATTTCTGTTATGAAGCAGAGGCTTGCTTGTACTGAAAGAAGGAAAAAAACCGCTAGAATCCATCCTATACTCTCCCTGACATGAGGAACTTGGTGCAGCACTGCAGCAACGCCTATCTAGGAAAAAGAGCAAAAGTAGCTTTTGTGATAAACCTTAAAATCCATCTCTGTACTTTGGTTTAAAAGCAAAACAAATAATCACTTTGGACAACTCAGATTTGGTTTGTACTGTCCTGCTTTGTTCAGAAAATGTCTTTACTGTAGTAGCTCTAAATTGGTACTGAATTATTGTAGACCATAGTCAATTTGAAGGGCATTTTTTTGTTTGTTTATCATATTGATAGGATCTCATTATGTACTGTTGGATGTGTAGCACATGGACTCGATGCTTGATGTAATCCTGGAAACAACAATGGCCACATGAACTAGCAATTTTTAGAGAAAAAAAATGAACTACCAAGTGGGCATTTGTATACATAGTACTATCCTATTTTGAAAAGTAGTGAGGGATTTGGAAGTATATTCATGCTAATTAGAGTAGGGCAGCTGGCTAGCACACATTATGTAACTATGATTTTTTTCAGTTTGGACATAGATGTGTCATGTTATAGTATGACTGTTGCGGGTTTTGTTCACTGTTGCTAATTTACCAAACTATATGGTCATTGTTAACCACCTTTACTGTCAACTCGATTACAACCATATTGTATCCAAACTTCTATACATTATGTGCATGAATGACTATACCTAATTCTAATATCCCAATCTAATTCTTTTGGTGAGTAGGTGGATAAACCGTAAGTGGGACTCTTAGAATCAAGCAAGAACAAAGCTGAGTTCATGACCGGTTGCATTGCCAGGAAGTCCGCATGTGCTGAATAGATGTTAGGAAGTCCTATAGTGCGCATCTTTCACAAAGTTCTAGTCTACCATTGAAAGTGTATCTAGCTCTTTAGTGGGTTTTGGACGATTGAATGACAACACGATTAAAGATCTAACATATTTGTTAAGTGTTGGACAGGAAATTGGTTATTCCACATGTACTTGATTTAATTGTATAGAGCCAAAATGATGTGTTGTTGTATAAACAATCTAGTTCAAACACAAGATAATAATACAAATGTAATTCATGCAAGGCTTATTTATTGTGGGATTTCTATTATTTATTATAAAGCAAGTACGTTGAGAATTAATTAATAAGACATGAGGGATTGCATATGGAATGGTCTCATATTTGAAGCTTGCTACATTGAAAGACAACTATACAAGTGAAAGGATGGATTATGAGTTTGATGGACGATTCAACACAAGGTGTGACTTGATGGCTTGAGATGATGAAGATAGTAAGGAAAGGCTTCGAGGTACTAAGCAAAGATGAAGAGCAAATGATAGCTTGGACGGTGAGGAATCTAGCTAGGATGAAGAAGAAAGTAGTTGCATTTAGTTGAGGTACCAATCAAACTATGATGGTCACATTGGGGTGGATGATCAAATATATATTGGATAAATTGTTGGAAGTGACTTGATACATTTGAAGTTAATTCTCATTTATTGATTGGAATCAAGTCACATGCTCAAGATGGCTATGCTCAAGAAGAAAATCAAAGTTGGCATGTTGACACCCTCACTTGATGAAGACTGAGAGTTATGGTATTTGGTTTGAAGAAAATCAACTCAAGCGATTCAAACTCGGTTTTCATTTTATCTTGAGTAAATAGGTATGTCGTACTATTAAGATGGATACATCATGTTGATAGATAATTATTCATAAGTGTTCAAGCCAACCCATGAGAGGTTTGAGTGAGAGAGAGTCACTAGAGCTAACTCACCCTGCTGTGGCCGAGCATACCGGACGTGTCTGGTATGCATACCAGATGTCTGGTATGAGCTTGGTCACAGCAACTTCTTCGGTGCTCTCGAGTTTGGTTCGTCGGAAGTTCTAGCAAGAGTCGAGAGTTCCAGCAAGCCTCGGGAGTTCCGACGCTTCACGCATCTTTAACTTACTAACCTTGGTGTTGTGCTGGTGATACTGGATGTGTCCGGTGTTCATACCGGACATGTCTGGTATGCCCCAACGGCACTATAACAACTAGTTTTTAAAGGGGCTATAAATACCCCCAAGCCTCCACCTTTGGAGGCTGCTGATTCTGCTGCTTGCTACACATGTTTTTGAGCCTTAAGAATACTCTTCAACCCTCTCTTAGTGAGTGTGTGATCCAATTTGCAAAATCCAACTTGTGGGTTGAGAGAGATTCAAAATTGAGGGCAAGCCACCACTTGAGCACTTGTGCATATTGTCTATTTCGTGATTCGCATTTGTTACTCTTGGACTCTTCGGTCCTAGACAGCTAGGCGTCACCGGAGAGCACCCAAGAGATTATGGTGTGCCTCAGAAGTTTGTAACGGTTGATTCCACTGCCGCAAGGGATGAAATTAACTGGAAGGAGGAAAAAGGAGTTGGAAAAGACTCCAACTAGAGTTGACCTTCGTGGGTGTAACACCCTAGTGTTAAGCATGCATTTGGCACTTGCATTTCATGAGCACAAGCACCATCCATTCATTCATGAGCATGAGCATATGAAATTTCATCTCATTTTTTATATGTATCACATGTGATGTTGATTATATGCATGCATATGCTTGTGATAATGTGTGACCAATGCAAGAGATGGTTGTAGGGTCACCAAAACACCTTAGACATATCTAGGATGGTAAATAGAACAATGTTTGTATTCATCACATGGGCCAATTTTGCTTCTAAGTCCTAGTTCACTCAAAAATGTCATTTTTCATGATGCGAGTTTGACTAAAGTTGAACAGTAGCTTAGATTATTTGCATGGCAGTGCACCCTTAATAAAAGTTGTAGCTTATCTTATGGGTAATAAACTTTATTTAAGGGTTATGAGCTAATTCAGTGCCTAACATAGTCAAAAACTGCTCCAAAGTAGCAATGAAATTCTGTTTTCAAACTTAGAAAATTTTGCTGTCATTAGCTAATTACAGTTTTAAAGTAGCACACTTTAGAGCTTTGCATTTTGAAAACCATGAAGAATTAGACCAAGCTCATTTAAGCAAAGATGGAGATCACGTGTAGCTCTACAATTCTTAGTAATGGATTCTTTGCTAATTCTGCACGGATTAGAAGTAACAGTGGTACGAAGATGGCTTATCAGTTGGCCTGACGGCCGATTTGAATCGGTCGGCCGAGCGCGTCGTGGCCGACCGCTGCTAGGCCGCGCGTGCCACATGGTGGCCGCTGGCTAACGTCGGCCCAGTCGGTCTAGGCAGCAGAGGGAGTAAAGGGAGGTGCAACTGCTGCTCTCTCCCATTTCCACTCTCTCGCCTTGCCTCTCTCGCTCTTGTCCTCGCCATCGCCGAGCCGCGTCGTCGTCGCCACCTCTGCACCACTGCCTTGCTCGCGCGCCATTCTCGCCACACCATCACCCAATCCATCTCACCCACTGCTGCACTGTCATCTCCTCTACCTCCACGACCCGCCACTGCCACTGTTCGAGCCCAGGTAAAGCGGCATTTCACGTCGCCGTCGCCGCCATGGCCACGGAGCTCCGCTGAGCTCCGAGCTTGCCGTGGCCAGCCTTATACACCTCTCCTCCTACCTTCTTTTCCATTGGTCTGTCATCGCCTTAGGTCCTAGATGCTCATGTCGTCATTTATTTAACCGCTACCGCCGCCACCGCGCGGGAATGCACCGCCGCACTGAGCGAGCCTGCCATGGCCGCGCGCACGAGCTTGCTGCCACCGACTTCACCAGCTGCCCTTAGCCCGCTCTGGTACCCATTACCGTGTCGCCTAGAGGTGTAGCACCTTCTCCGATGATGGAGACCTACCTTCGACCACCATCTCGTCAGAACGGTGACACCACCACCGTGCTCTGTGCGCCGTCGTGCCACCATGCACGCGGCTAGAGCTCACCACCGCTTCACTGTGGCTTGATCCGCACCGTAGAGCTCCGCTAAAGTTCATAGATGCCGTAGCCGTCCTTGCTTGGTCACATCTTCGCTGGAGACGACGAGTCAGCCACCGTGCACCGCCGCCAAGCCGCCATGCTCCCCGGCGAGGTCGCTCCGGTGATCCACCGAGCCAACCAAGGGTATTAGTCGATGCGCAGGAGCGTGGGGAACACAACACCAGTGATCTCGCCGCCGGTGACCTCACCGTCGACGAGCAGTAGCCGATCAACTGCCATGTTCTATTTTGTGTGTATGTCAAGTGAGGCCGAGTTGACTGTGGGGCCCTACTGTCAGCCGCAGTGGGTGTATAGACCGGGTGCACGTAGCTACAGCTCCCGGGGTGAAATTTGATTTTCTTTATTTATTTTCATAGATTTGAATGCAAACTTCAAAAATTTATATCTTGAGCTAGGAGTGTCCAAATGAGGTGATCCAAATTTTTTTGGATTCATCATGAAGTGTACTATTTGACAAAAATATGAAACCTACTGTTTGGGATATTTTCTAGGATAATTAAATTGAGCTAGATAAGTGCTTTTAAATTTGTTTCTATATTGTAAAATGCATAACTTGAGCTAGAGAAGTGCAAAAATTATAATTCTAATTTTGCTGCTCTTGTGTTGACATGATCTAGTTAGGAAAAATACTA